AGATGCTGGAGCAGGCAGGTCCTTCCTGACTCTCCAGAGACGTCAGGAGATGCTGGAGCAGGCAGGTCCTTCCTGACTCTCAAGAGACTGACTGGGTTCTTTTTGCAATTTGCTCATTAGGGTTTGGGTTCAGAAGAAGGCGCAGACAGGTTTGTAAGCTGTCGTAGTCCTCTCATGCAGGAAGCATGAGCAGTCACTCCTCTGCTCTGCTCTCCCTGGGAAATAGCAAATGTTTGTTGAGAAGAGAGAATTAGGAATGGCCAAAGAATTTTAGACACCAACTTGTATGGACTTGCCATAGTCAGCTGTTATATGAGGTGATTTATTTATTTACCCTTCTACTAAGTGTGTAATCACACCTAGACATAAAAGTTCAAGATCGTAAATGGAAAATAATATCTAAAATCATTATTATTGAGGGAAAAGTTTCTATAGCTTGATTTTTATTTTTATGGCTTATTTTATATCTTCTCAAGGTAATATTTAATGTATTTACATCCATGCATAAAGTTCTGAGTACATGCATATGAACCCACAAGTGCTTTATCTCCTACATAGAGACCTTTAATTATGGAAAATGTTTACAGTGTGATCCTACAGTATCATTTCTATTCTCCATGTTTCTCAAAGCACAGTGCATGAAGGGTGGAGGAGAAAATTGTAAAGTGTATTGGGTAAGAAGAGGCTCTGACAAACCTTTGTACAGCACAGAGAATAACTGCTGATTTATTCAGAGAACACTCTAGATAGAGTTCATGCCAAGAGTGATACTTAACCTTCTAAAAATGAGACAGATGGACCAATAGTAACTTGTTCCTGACCAAAAAGAGAGAAACCATGAATAATGACCACATTTTAGAGTAGAAAGAAGAAAATTTCAGATATTTTAGAGAAAAAAAATGACAGAATGGAATTCTGCTACTCTTTTATTTTTGTCAGTAAGTTATATATTAAAGCCATGTGTTACCAGTAAAAAGGCAACACTTAAAATGAGATATGGTGTAGGGCTGGAAAGATACTCAGCAATTGAGAGGATTGACTGCCCGTCCAGATGACCAGGGTTCAAACCCAGCTCCTACATGGTGGCTCACAACTGGCCATAGCTTTAGTCCAGGCATCCAGCGCTCTCTTCTGGCCTCAAGGCACTAGGCACACATGTGGCACACAGGCATACATGTAGACAAAGGACTGCTATACAGAAAAAATAAATAAGTAAGTAATAGATAGACAGACAGACAGACAGACAGACAGACAGACAGATGATAGATGAGGGAGTACATGCTAATATTCTAGAGGTAGAGACAAGAGGTGGAGGCAGGAGACAGAGGCTGGTGACCAACAGTTTTAGCCTAATCTGAGTTTTGTCTTAAAAAAACATCAATACTTATGCCAAGTGTTGGTGGCCCATGCTTGTAATCAATACTTATTTTAATAAAGTTTTCAAATAGCTCAATAGCATATGGTCATTATTTATTTTGAATATTCATATACTTTATTAGATAAGCAATTACCTTTGCTGGATAAAAGTTTGAGTAGCTCTAAAATTCTTACATCACAGCTTCTAATGGTTCTCTCGTGGTGAGCACCTAGTGAGTATTGTGTTTTAGAATAGCAAATGGGAACATTTGTGTAAGTATATGTGTACGATAAAGCTTTGTTTCAGAACTATTATTATAACAAAAATTAGAAGAAACAATAGCTATTAAAGTGGAGCTAGTGGCTCAGTCAACCATGAGTTGTGTACAATATTATTTTCACAACACTAAAAAGAAACTCTAAAAATGCTATTGACTGCCATTTTGCTCTATGTTTTCTATGTGTGGATATGTAAATGCCATATATACAGTTACCTGCAATATTTAGTACACCAGCATTCCCTGAAGATGTGCAGCGCGGAGTGACAGTCAGTGTTATACAGCCCGTGTATGCAGGGACTGACCATGGAGGTTAGTGGAAGCACACTGTGTCTTCCTCATGACAAAATCAGATGTATCCCTTCTGCTACACTCAGTTAATGAGTTATTAACTGACATGAAGATGACCACATATGAGTAAGGTCATGACTTTTAGCAAGCAAAAATAAAGGATGATTAGTTATGACCTTCAGGTGAGCAACATATTCTAGGTGTAATTATATCATTAACACTTCATGTGAGATACACTAAGAGCTAAGAGTTACTGTTTATGTCTGAAATTCAAACAGAACCAACTTACTTTATGCTGTAACCTCCATAAGAAGTTAAAAACATCAGAGCAGCTCAATCTCAGCTTCAGTACAGACTAGAGCTTCCACATGCTGGGTAAAATGTTATGTGACCTTGTGTTTTAAGTGAATATATTTGAAAAGAAGTTTTGTTTTCTCTCTGGTTCTAAGTTATTTGATGATGTGTCTGTCTGACAAGATGGTCCTTTTGAAGAATCATAGATGGAAAATCTGCACATTGGACCAGTTTTTGCTTGGATAAGACAATGTTGTACTTAAAAAGAATAACATCTTCAAGAGATTTAATATAAAGATTTTCTCAATAAAGCCCATGTGTGTGCTCAGACAGTCTTTAGTATAAAAATATTCTGGCCCCTGACATTCCCAGGTATTGAACAAAACTAATTATTTCTGGTGCCTTAATAACAATACAGACTTCAAGCCCCTGTGGGATTTGGTACTCTAATTTTTTATTTCATTAAGTTTGTTTCTCTGGTCATTAGAACTTGGTAGAACTTGAGTCAGGAGTTCTGATATATTCTGGAACACCCGTAAAAGCATGAGAATAACATATTCCCTGGCGTCTGATAGACTACCCACTTACACACACCCAAGATGGTTCTCCATCTTAGTTGCAGACCTGATAACTTCTTAGTGTTTTTCCCATGTGAAGTTCAGGTCTTCATTTCTTTGTGAATGAATTTTGATAATTTGGGTTTTTCTGTTATTTTTACAAATGACCTTTTGTTTTATCATATGCTTCTTAATAGCATATGTTTTTGCCTGCAGTTATTTCTACATGTGATTTAGTTTGTGAACTCACTAACATTGATTTGCAGTGCACTCAGTTTTACGGACTTGCCAGTGAACTAACTCTAGTTGTGCTGTTATGTTCTGACAAGTAGGAGATGCTGCAATCTGGTGCAGGCGGCTGGCAGCCTGTCTTGAGCTCAGTCAGTCGCTAAGTTTGTGCCCTGGGTCAAGTTGGTTGCTCTTGTTCTGCCTCAGTTTCTTTATCCAGAAATAAAATCATGATGATAAGATCACGACACATGACTCCTGAGATGAGAGAAGTTTTGTAAGCTGCCAAGAGTAGCAGTGACCTGTGTAAGCTAGCAGTAGCGGGATGTATTGTTGTTGTTGTTTTCTGTGTAATTAAACTTTTTGTTTCCCTTGAGCGTAAATCGGAGCTTGAGGAGCTGTCAAATTGTTGGGTATAAACCTTACTTCTTAAAATTCTACACAATTTCTCCTCTGTCATTTCCTTTCAGAAATGTTTCAGAAAGTTCAAACTGAACTTCCATTTCTCTTTCTGGTGTCTTCTCATCTGTCTCCTTTGTAATTTTATAGCTCTGGGAGTAATATTATCTATTGCATCTTTTTTATTTCCTCAAATATAAAACCATTTCTGCATCTGTAAACACACATACTTGTGCTACTCATTAAGAGCCTGTTATGTTCTCCTCACCTGCTTTGAGTTGCTGTGTCCTAGGGGTTTGACTCAAGATTGTCTTCTATGTCAGCTCCCTCTCTGAGTCCTAAGAGACTGTCTTCTATGTCAGCTCCCTCTCTGAGTCCTAAGAGACTGTCTTCTATGTCAGCTCCCTCTCGGAGTCCTAAGAGACTGTCTTCCATGTCAGCTCCCTCTCGGAGTCCTAAGAGACTGTCTTCCATGTCAGCTCCCTCTCAGAGTCCTAAGAGATGTTCAGGAGCTTGTGTTTTATTTGTCTGCTTTGGTCTCTTTGCCTCCGTACCCAACAATACGCTCTCTTCATTTGTAACCGTACTACCAAATATTGTTATTTTTATCGTGCCTTCCCTGTGGACTGTTCTCTTGAGATAGATAGTCTTGTAAATTCAGAACTTGAGTTTGGGTGGATGAAACTGCTAGATTACAAAGTAAAAAAAAATAGGGATAACATGAGATATTTCCTTATTAAGCTTACCTGCTAGGGAAAAAGGGCAATCATTTCAATGATGTTATGAGTTTATTACTAAAGATCTACAATAAATCACAGGGACTGGTAGTGTGTGTGTTGGCAGCAGGCACAATGGACGATTTTAAACTGATAACTTTGGAGTCTGGGATTTTCCAGATATATTAGAATATAAAAGAACAATAATATGATCCTTGCTCTTCAAATAGCAGCTCAGTCCTTTACGGTAGAAAGTCACATTTTAAAAGGCAGTGTGCCAGGATGTCTTGAGTGGTCTTGATTGAATAGAATTTTCTCACTTGGTGTGCTTTTGTTCTTTAATGTTATATGGTGGTCACTATTTATTCATTGAAGTACAGATAATTAAAAGAAATCTTATTTTGGTTACAGTCAAATTTTGACATATTTATTACTTTATTTGTTCATCAAAGACAAAGAATTCTTGGGGTAGATGTAAAAATGTGGTCTACTTTAATTCATGATGTTAACTATTGTTGCTAACTTAAATGATACACACCACTATTTGGGACTTTAAGGAATCATTATATTAAAAGTATTTTAATGATTATTTTGTTTCTTTGTCAATGATTACCTATGCCTTTTAGATAGAAATGAGTATATTTGAAACAAAGTTTTGATAGCATTTTCCTCAGTTCTTCATATTTTCATCTTTGTCATTCTTAATGATTATTAATGAAAAACATATGTGGTATATATATTATATGTAATCTAAGAAGTAATCTGTTTAATACATGTTTTAATGCTTAGATTTTTCTTCCAGATAACGATGAAAGGAAAAAGTCAAGCTTTCAGTATCAAAAGCCGAACTTTATTATATGAATTGCTTTGTGCGCTTATTAACCCAAAGCGCAAGGACACCAGGGGATTCAGCCACTTCGCAGAAGTGACTGAGCATTTTGCCTTTGCTCTGCTGACTGATGTGACCTGTGGGTCTCCTGGTGAAAAGTAAGTACTTTGTGAAATTGTTAGTTCCCAAAACTGCATTTCCTCATGGCTTCCAAGGCAGCAAATGATGCCAGTCGCCACTGAGACGATCGCAGAGCATGTGATTGGCACTTTGCTTCTGTTGGTCAATGGAACAGCTTCCCAGGGGAAGACAGCATCTCCTGCCAGAGCAATGAATGTGTACCACCAGCACTATGGTGCTGTTGTTGCAAAATATCTTGAAGAGTAAAACAAAACATCGTCTTGTCTTTTCTTGCTCTCATTCAGTCAGTGGAAAGTACATTCTGAGGTGGAAGGATGTTGGGATTGTATTGGGGTCTCTGCTACCCAAAAGCTGCAGATATTTCTTCACTAGGAGGCAGCTCTCACACTTTAGGGTTTTCTGTGGCTGGAGATCCACAGCAGGAAGCTAGCAAGAGGAGGAGCAAATGGCATGTAGCTCATGGTCATTATCAGCTGCAGCATCAGTTATGTAACCATAGGTTAGTATTTTGTGCACAGTGATGCAAGAAATTACATTCACAATCTAAATTGTGTTATTGTAGTCCAAAGAACGTTTTATGTGTATTTGACAGCCAAAATCCATGGACATAAGAACATGGGCAGAAATTAAAATCCATCTTGATTTTCATGTTGTTCATATATTCTACCCCAAAACAATAAGTAGTATTTTTATTGCATTTATTGGGTACTTGGTTAAGAATATTTATATAAACTTTATCAATTTTATCATTTATTTAAATTAAAACCATAGTCCATGTTTAGTAAGCCATGATACATGAATCATTTTAATAATGAATTCTGTAAACTAACAATGAAATCAATTGATTAAATAAAACTTGGAATATTAATTCTTTGGTTGCAGACACATGAAGTTCAAAAATAGTTAATTACTTATAAAATACAAGTTTTAAAATACTGAGATCATTGATGATATTAATTATATCCTTGCTATATCCAGACTGCATTAAATTGAAGAATATAGATGAGTATTTTATAGGTAGAAACAGTGTGATATTGAAAATTTTATAAGGTTCAGCATACCCCTTCATAAAAATTGGAGTGTATCGTACACATAGTTTACAAATCATCCCTTTGGATGAGCTATTGGAAGGTGGAGTTAGGACTTTATTATTTGTATTTAGAGATTCAGAGACGGAGGTTCAGGGTCCTGCTTACCTTGACAAGGTTTACATGTGTGGTTCATGGAGAGTCTTGTGCTCAGCCATAGACCTGCTTAATTCCATAGCCCCTCCCAACCGCCATTCTGTGTGGTCAGAAGTGTGTGATAAACCCAACCTTACAGCCCAAATCCTTTGAGATCCACTCCAGGGTATGGTGGAGTTGGGAAACATTTCCCATCTGCTTACTCTGCTACAAGTGCTAATGCGTCTTCGGAATGGGGAAATCAGCAATAAATCAGCAAAATCTCACAGGAGCTTCTTTGGGATACCCTCTTTCTTGTCCTTACATGGTTCCTACATGTCCACCTGCAATAAATGAGGTGCTAGTCTATCTTCGTGCTGTCTACATGTCTCCAATAGATTAGTTGCTTTCATTGAGACCACAGAATATATTTGGAATATTGACAATGGAATCTAGAGTAGCCACTTGGAAATCAAGTACAACAATGCAATTAGCCCAGAGGATGATTATTGCACCCCTGTAATGGGGTGTCAGCTAACATGTACCTCTCCCCACTTCGGTCTGTATGAAACAGATGGTGGTCTTAGCAAAGAGAGTACATTTAGAGGGCAAAGAAGTAAGAGGTTAAGGTGTCAGCAGGAGTTTGTTTATCAGCAGTTAAAAGGGGCCAGAAATCTGGGGTACTTGTGGGAGTAAGATATTGTGTGTGTTGTTAGTTTAGAAAGTGGCAGGGACCCCGAAGGCTCTGGCTAGTCTGAGTGTCTTGGGAGCGGGTTAATAGAGTGTTGTTCATCTGGGTGACTGAAGTTCTCTGGTTTCTGTGGCTTTGTGCCTAGCGAGGGGCTCTGTGACTGAGCAATAACTGTGTTTGATATGGGGGCAGAGGGATGAGATTGACAAGTTATTGTTGAGGTCTATGGGGCCCATAAATATTGAGGTGTTTACATAGGATGCTTGACCAGAGACCTATCATCCTGGATAAGATAGAATAGAATATCAAAGCCACTGACCACTGAATTTATTTACTTATTTATTCATTTTCATTACATTATAAAGTTACTTTAAAATTTTTTCAGATAGTATATTTTGATCATATTCTTTCCCCTCTGCCAAATCCTTCTAGATCATCCCTACCTCCCTACCCACCCAACTTCATGTTCTTTTTCTCTTTCAAAAATACCCATATCTCCAGCCAAACCAAAACAAAATCATAAAAGACAAAACCAGCTACATAAGAATCATGGCATCTGTTTATTGTTGGTCAGCTGCGGCTGAGCCTGAGGACTGCCCTGGCGTGTGGTTGTTATGACTGATATTGAACACTTTAAATACTATCGTTGAAGCCCTGGATGAGACTTGTTATAAAAAGGACAAGCAGCTGGGGAAGAAGGTTCCCTTTTACTCTGCTATTTTCCACATCTTTCATTTAGCACTGTCCGACCATTTGCTCATATTGCAGGTCGTAGCAAGGTATCATTTTGATCCACTCTCTAACTACATACTTTGTGTGCATTGTGACTGATAGAACCTTTACCATTGAACAGATACATCTCACAGTGTCCTAATAGTCTCCACATTGTTGAAAGCAGGTTTCTGTAACATGGAGGGTCTGCTTGTTGGTGTTTTCTGTCCCGCCCAGTACCCCACAACCGGCAAGCCCCAAAGAAAATCACACAGAGATCTCTATAAGTTATAAAGCTGATTGGCCCATTAGGTCAGGCTTCTTACTGGCTAACTCTCACATCTTGATTAACCAAGATCCACAGGAGTTCAACTCACATTGAGCTTTGAAAGCAATTTAACTGAGCGTAGGATCTTATTTTCTCTAAACGGTGTGAAAAAAGTAGAAATGTCGGAACCCTCAAGACCATTAATCAGATCTGTTTCCTTTCTTTTTTTTTTTAAACTTTTTATGATTTATTTATCTTTATTTTATGTGCATCGGTGTGAAGGTGTCAGATTCCCCTGGAACTGGATCTTCAGACAGTTGTGAGCTGCCATGTGGGTGCTGGGAATTGAACCTGGGTCCTCTGGAAGAGCAGTCAGTACTCTTAACCGCTGAGCCATTTCTCCAGCCCCTGTTTCCTTTCTTTTTAAAATTTTTTTCATTTTATGTACCAACTCCAGTTCCTCCTCCCTCCCCTTCTTTCACCCTCCCCAACTCTCCTCCATCCCACCTCCCATCCATTCCTGAGATGAGGTAAGTCCTCCCTTGGGGTGTCAATGAAGTCTGGCATACCAAATTGACGCAGGACCAAGCCCCTCCCACCTGTATCAAAACTGAGCAAGGTATCCCATCATAGGGAATGGGCTCTAAAAGTCAGTTTATGAACCCAGGATAAGGCCTGGTCTCATTTCCAGGGGTTTCCCAAATAGATCAAATCATATAACTGTCACTGACAATCAGAGGACCTCGTTTGGTCCCACACCGGTTCCTCAGCAGGTAGTCCAGAGTCTGTGAGCTTCCACTAGCTTGGGTCAGTTGTCTCTGTAGTTTTCCCATCATGATTGTGACCGCCTTCCTCATATGATCCTCCCACCCTCTCTTTGACTGGACTCCGGGAGCTAGTTTTGGTGTTTGGCTGTGGATCACTGCATCTGTTTCCGTCAGTGACTGGATGTAGGTTCTATGATGACAATTAGGGCAGTCAATCTTATTGTAGGGGAGGCCAGTTCAGGAACCCTCTACACTATTGCTAGGAGTCTTAGTCTGCACCTAGCTAGGTCAGATCTGTTCTTTTACTAGCTGGTTGACTATATTAGAAGGTTCTGATGTACAGGAAAGGCATGGGGCACCTGAAAAATGTAACTATAGATACACGTGCCTTGTGATTTTAAATAAAAAGGTTTCACTCTAGTGGAAATAGTTTTTCCTCAGCCTGCTCTACCACAGCCTGTGACTAACACAAACCAGTACATTCTAAGCCACAGATGGCACTGTGATAACCGTGTAACAGTTTCCAGTTACTCCTGTTTTAGGTTACAAGAAAGATCAAGCAAAGGGATGTGGAAAGATGTAAGCATCGCTAGGAAACCCAAAGCAGATGGCGATTTAGTGTTGGGATTAGTAGAGTCCTTGCTGTACACGAAGAGAAAAATCCTCAATTTAAATATTTGAGCAAATACAGTTGGGTGTGTTGATACAAATACAGTTGGGTGTGCTGATACAAATACAGTTGGGTGTGCTGATACAAATACCTGCCTTCTCAATGCAGGCTTGTTTTCTCTTGTAGAAGCGAAACCATCCTTAATAGTTGCCCATATTTGTCAATACTGGCTCTTCACTGGTACCCTCAGCAAATCAATGGACACAGGTTTGAAGGAAAAGATGGTGATTACATTCAAATTCCGGAGAGGTTATTGGATGTTCCTGATGCAGAAATGGCAGCTGGGAAAGGGGCATGTGCATTAGTCCAGTTTGTGGAATACAGCAGCCAGCAGTGGTTCATAGCAGGAAACAGCCTTCCTGCCCTGAAAGACAAGGTAACCTCTCATTGAAAATGATGTGATATTTTATCTTATTTCTCCTTTACCCGAAAAACTTAGAACACATTAGCTTAGCTGATTTTTCGGTGCAACACAGGAGTAGCATGAATATTATTCTCTTTGTAAGCCATTTGTCGTATTTTTTACTTCATAATGTTTTGTGGAGTATGTATGTATGTATATGGACAAAGTCTTGGCATATACCTACCCTCTCAGGAGGCCAGCCAGTGATATTTATGGGGGGGGGGCGGTGGTCAGCTAAAGACAGACAGCGGCTGCCGTGGAGTTGGACTGTGATAGTGGGAAGCCGGTCAGGGTTGCATTGAGTAAGAGAGCCGGCTAAAGGTACTGAAGGAAACACTATAGGTGCTAGGCATTAGCAAAACGAAGTCCAGTTTTTACGTGGAGACTCAGTCATATCACTAGTTGAAAAATTACCATTAAATGTTCTGTTTCTTCTGACCTTACAGGTGTTGTCCCTCAATATGAAAGGTCAGAGTGTCCAAGTCCTGCCTAGCAACAATGAAGTTCTCTACAGGATTCATGCAGCTGAGCCTAGAATCGTTCCTCATACATCTCTCTGTCTCCTCTGGAATCAGGCCGCAGCCAGGTGTGGACTGATGGATGTTCAGAACAGTTTGTATTATAAAAAAATTCTTAATTAAAAAAACAAAACAGAAAAACAACAACAACAAAAATTAAGACCAGTGTTTGGTGCTTCCCATCTGGAAACATCCGGAAACACTGCACCTGTGTGTATTGAGCATAGATGGTAGCCTCAGGGGAGACTTCAGACTGAGGAGCAATCTCTCCTGTGAGTAAGGTAAATCAGTAACAGAAAATGCCCAGCATCATTCCACTGGGGACCTGCTGGTAGTTGGACTATGTGTGCAGGATGTTTGTTGTTCCTTCTTCATTATAGATAGTCTCACGCACTGTATCTTCAGTTACTCTCGGGTTAGATTAACTTTTCTGAAGTTCTCAGTTAATTTGTTACACCTGAAAGGAAGCTCCTGCAGTCCTGCCCCTGCAATTCAGGAGCTGTGGCTTGTGTTTAGAGGGATCAGCAGGGTTTCAGAATTCTTGCTCACAGGTAACTCCGACCCCTTTGGGGATTAAACACAGACAGCACAACAATGAAAGGTTGAATGTTTTTTTGAGTCTCTTTGGCCTCTGGGCTTAGGTTCCTGAGAAAGTAACTGTCACTAAAATCCTAGTCCGTGCTGTAGGGTCTGCTCATGTTGGAAGAGGGGATCGTTGTCTATGTCAGCCATGAAATTCTGTTTATTACTGAATTTCAGCCTGACAGGAAAACCACCTCATCTATTTGGGTTAGTCTTTCTTTCTCCTCAATAACATATTTTGAACAGAAATCCCTAAAGCATGATGCTGGATCTTAAACCAGATACATAATGTTCTCTATATGTGATGGTTCAACTTGAAGTGTATGCAGAAATAATGCACTTTCCTGAAACTACTAGAACCTGACCATTGAACTCTGACCTTTCCCACACTGGCAGTCTGTGATGTGATGCTGACAATGACTGAGCCATGGTAGCAGCGGTCATGGCAGCAGTGTGCTCGTGAGGGTGAATACCCAAGTGTGCCATGTTGGTGCTATTGAGTTAGATGAAACACCACGACCCAGGCAACCTATAAAAGAAAGTGTTTAATCTGGGTCCTGCTTACAGTTTCAGAGGGCCAGAGTCGCTGGCTATCATGCCAGGGAGTATGGCAGGAAGCAGGCAGGCATGGTGCTGGGGCAGAAGCTGGGAGCTTACATCTTATCCGTAAGATATAGCCGGAGGGGGGGGGACGACTGGCATGGGCTTTTGAAACTTCAAAACATTCATGGTAACACCCCTCATCCCACCAGCCACACCTCTTTGAACAAGGGCATACCCCTAATACTTCTCAAAGAGTTCTTCCAACACCAAGCATTCAAATATATGAGCCTGTGGGGGATCACTCTCCTTCAAACCACTACAACATAGGAGTAATTCATGTGGTGTGGTGCAAAATGGAAGACTGTTGCAAGCAGGAGGAGAGGCTAGCCCCCCCCCACACACACAGGGTGGCTGCTGTACTGGCTAGTTTTATCTCAGTTTGACACAAGCTAGAGTCATCAGAGAGGAAGGAGCCTCCGTTGAGGAAATGCCTCCATAAGACACAGTTGTAAGGCATTTTCTTAGCTAGTGATCAATGGGAGAGGGCCCAGCCCATTGTGGGCAGTGGTATCCCTGGGCTCTAGGTCCTGCGTTCTATAAGAAAGCAGGATGCCATGAGGAGTGAGCCAGGAAGCAGCTCCCTTCGATGGCCTCTGTATCAGCTCCTGCCTCCAGACTCCTGCCCCATTTGAGTTCCTGTCCTGACTTCCTTTGGTAATGAACAGCAGTATGGAAGAGTAGGCTGAATAAACCCTTCCTTCTTCAGCTTGTGTTTTGGTCATGGCGTTTCATCATGGCAATAGAAGCTCTGCCTAAGACAGCTGTGCTGACCTGTGGGGATGCATACCAGCCCTAACTGTGATGGTCTGTTGAGATCCATGGAGCCATTACTGTGCTGATCTGTTGGTATTCACATATGCCGTAGCTGTGTTGATCAGTGTGAAGTTTTGAATAACAGAAAAGACCAAATTTGCTTTAGGATGGTCGAGAAAGCTCCACCATTGCTGAGCAGGCTAGCTTCTTCGGTACAGCAAATGCTCTGGCAGCTGTGGTTGGGATTCACACTGACTCTTAGGTGTCTTGATGGAAGCTATCGGGCCATGGACAAGATTTTCCCTCCGGTGTTCCTTCTGGAAAGTGTAGTCTGCTTAAGTCCCGAGTCAAGAACACTTGATTTCGGCTAGTTATTTTTCCTCTAAAAACACTCTGAACACCTCTGAAATATTGTTGAAAGAACAGTGACTCTTGTGTTTTGTTCTAGCTGGTTGTCTGACAGCCAATTTTGCAAAGTAGTTGAAGATACTTTGGAGTACGTGGAATGTTCCTGTTCACACATGTCTGTGTATGCCGTCTACGCCAAGACTGCCCGCTCGTCCTCATACAATGAAGCCTTTTTCTCTTCCGGGTTTATTTGTATCTCAGGTCAGTGGCAAGGTTTTCAAGTTATGAATTTTAAATACATGTGAAAATGAAGCTTTCCCAGAGTTCCTTTGTGTAAGATGTGAGCGGACTATGGTTCATCATTTTCTCATCAACTCAATCATTAATACATATAGCAAGTATTTCTGGACGTCAACTCTGAACGTCTTTGCAGAACAAGCCATGCTTTCATGAAAAGCATGGGATACAGCGTTGGATAGAGATTAGATAACACGGAAGGGGGCCATCTGTGGTGTACTGTGCTTTAGATCTTAGGTTATACAGTTAGAATATTGGGATGATATAAACCAATACATATAAAAATTGTGTTTGCATTAAAATAAATATTTTATGGAATCAGCTGCTCAACAGACTACAACTTTGGTACATATCAAACCCTATGCTAAAAATTATCTCTGTTCAACATATTTATCCTCCTTTTTATTTCAGTGATAGGAAGTTGGATTTTATTAATGTCTGTCAAGATGTTTATGTATACCATAGCTATAGAGTTATTCTCAGTAGCCTGTAGAGCATTGAGCATCAGACTGGCAGTGTTCAGGTATGCCAAGGCAGACTCCACACTGAAGCTTAGACCATAACACATCTGCAGAAACAAGTATCACACAGCGTGTTTCAGATCAGATGTAGTTTTCTGCAATGCACCAGCTTTGTACTTTCAAACAGTATTATCTCAGTCACTTGGACACAAATTCTGAAATACAGTGTATTCTTTCATCACTCAGGAAGAATTAACAGTTCTTTGCATTAGGATTTTCTGTGATAGTAGAAATATTTTATACTGTCTAATATGTGAGTTATTGGCCACATGGGATCATGCATCATTGAAATATGACTGAAATTTAAGTTCTATTTAATTTGATTTATGGAAATTTAAATTTAAAAAACTTCCACCGGCAAGTAGTTATTGTGTTCAGGATCCATTCCTTAATTATCAAGGCTATGTATCCCTGGCAACATCACCCATCCCCTAACATATGGAGTTGTGTACTCCAAGGTACTTCATGCTGAGAGTTGTCCCTACCTGAGGAGATCTTCTCAGGCTTGACTGCTTTTTCTTACTACCCTTAGCTTATTAGTAGCACTAACCCCAGCACATTGCTCAGAGGGGAAACTTAAAGGTATCAACCCAGCTGCGATTTGTAACAATACAGTTGACAAACCCTACAACCGCAAGTAGCATGAGGTAGAAAGATAAGAAAAAACCTAAGTTAAAGCGCTAATACGTGACTTAATAGTGAAGTAAGAGTAAGCTGACCTCATTTGGATTATCTAGAGAGGAAGTAGGTATAAATCGGGTGATAGACTGCCACCTTAAAATGCAAAATTCATAAATATTTTAAAGTAAAATTTGTAGAAAATTTACTATCATTTGTCTTGTGTGGGGCTAAATTGCAGGGACAGGGGAGCATTTTTACCTGTAAAATTTGATGAAGAGCAACAATGTCTCCTGGCTCTGCCTATGCAATACAGATATCACACGTGTTTATATTTACATAAATACTCCAAAATTGTGTGTATACATAAGATGTATGGCCAAGTCTAACAGCCGCAAAGGATATCTGTGCTGCAGAGCCGGGCTCCGCCACGTCTCGTCGATGTTGCTGTTTGTGAAGAACAACACATCTTCCTCCTTTTCAGTGTGTAGACAATCATTTGTGTCAGCGGGTGCAGTGAAGGTTCTTTCTCTCTCCCAGCTCAATCTGTAATCCATACAGGGCTAGAAAAAAAAAAGAATATTACTCAGGCAGCAGATTGTTTCTCTGTAGAATTGCCAAGAAATAAAAACTTAAGGACTCTAGAGCGCATATTTAGGTATTACATGGAGTTGTTATAGTTTGTTATACTTTATTTAAGAGATTCTATCATTATACATTCTATGTTTTGTGATGTGAATATTTATAGTAAGGAATGTGAGCAAAGAACTGCAATTAAAAATGTTTCTTTGTAAACGTTAAGCGTGTATGCTGAACATATCATTCTTTTTCTAGATTGAGGAAAGGGTATTTCCTAAATTTGAATATTAGTGGTGCTTAAATTTGTATATAGCCATTTAGAAACTTTATAACTAAAATATTTATTTCTCTAAAGCTTAAGTGTTCTATATCCTGTCCAAAGACAGATGGCTTTGCCTAGTTTAGACCACAGCTTGTTTAAGATTCTCATGAGAATTCTTTCAATGAAGAATGAACCGGTGAGGAGCTCTAATTAGCTTCTGATTGCAGTGCTAGAATGCCCATCTAAAGCATCTTGGGGAGGAAAGTGTTGAGTCTGGCTCACAGCTGGGGTTCATGAATGAAAGACAGGGAGGAGCTCAAGGCCGGATCTGGAGGCAGCATCTGAAGCAGAGACCATGGGAGATACTGGCCTGGTTTCTGTTGCTCACTCAGCCTTTTTGTATGACCCAGGACCACCTGCTCAGGGTGGTCCTCCTCATAGTGAGCTGGCCCCTCACACGTCTGTCTTAGTCAAGAAAATGCCCCCACAATCTTTCTTCCAGTCCAAGCTGATGAAGGAATTTTTCTCAGTGGAGGGTCCCTCTTCCCAGATGACTCTGGCTGGTGCAAAGTTGACATGGAACTTGCCAGCATGGCCAAATAACTGTGACACGTTATGTTGAAACGTTAATAAACTCTGTACACTTTCCACTTTTTCCTGGCCATAATAAAATCCACTTTCTTCCCAGGATTTGATTCCTGAACTACAATCAGGGACTATAGTAGCATTTTAATGAAGCTTTTTAAAATTCACAATCATATTTTTTTTTATTAATTTATAAAAGTTTCCACTCCCCCCCCTCCGCCCAATACCCTCCCACTCCCCCCACTCTCTTTCCTCCTCCCTCTCCAGTCCCAAGAGCAGTCAGGGTTTCCTGCCCTGTGGGAAGTTCAAGTTGCTCCCCCCTCCCTCCAGGTCTAGGAAGGTGAGCATCCAAACAGACTAGAATCCCAAAAAGCCAGTACATGCAGAGGAAACAAGTCCCAGTGCCATTATCAATGGCTTCTCAGACAGTCCCCGTGCCAGCCACATTCAGAGAATCCGGCCACATTCAGAGAATTCGGTTTGATCACGTGCTCATTCAGTCCCAGTCCAGTTGGCCTTGGTGAACTCTCATTAGATCAGCCCCCTTGTATCAGTGGGTGAACGCACTCCTCACAGTCCTGCCTTCCTTGTTCATGTTCTCCCTCCTTCTGCTTCTCATTTGGACCTAGGGAGTTAAGTCCAGTATTCCAATGTGGGTCTCTGTCTCTATCTCTATCCATCGCCAGATGAAGGTTCTAAGGTGATATGCAAAATATTCATCAGTATGGTTATGGGCCAAGGCCAGATCAGGCACCCTCTCCTCTGCTGCCCAGAGTACAATCTGGGGATATCTCCTTGGACCTGGGAACCCCTCTAGAATCAAGTCTCTTGTAAACGTGAAAATGGCTCCCTTAGTTGAGATATATACTTCCCTGATCCCATATCCATCCTTCCTCCCTTCCCCCATCCCAATCCCCCAAGCTTTCCCCAATCCTCCCCTATTCCCTTCCTCTAACCCTCTCCCCTTCCATCCACCCCCCGCCCCCATGACCGTGCACCTAAGGTTGCCTGGCACTCTTGTCTACTTCCAATATTCAGAAGGATAACGACATAATTTTCTTCAGGTTCACCTTCTTATTTAGCTTCTCTAGAATCACGAATGATAGCCTCAAAGACCTTTAATTATGGCTAGAATCCACTTATGAGTGAGTACATACCATATTCCTCTTTTTGTGTCTGGGTTACCTCACTCAGAAAAGCGTTTTCTATTTCCACCCATTTGCATGCAAAATTCAAGATGTCATTGTTTTTTACCGCTGAGTAAAACTCTAATGTGTATATGTTCCACACCTTCTTTAACCATTCTTCTATTGAGGGGCACCTAGATTGTTTCCAGATTCTGGCTATTAAAAATAGTGCTGCTATGACCATAGTTGAACAAATGCTTTTGTGGTATGATAGGGCATCTCTTGGGTATATTCCCAAGAGTGGAATTGCTGGGTCCTGTTGGAGGTTGACTCCCAGTTTCCTGAGAAACCGCCACACTGATTTCCACAGTGGCTGCACAAGTTTGCATTCCCACCAGCAATGGATGAGTGTTCCCCTCACTCCACATCCTCTCCAGCATAGGCTATCATTGATGTTTTTGAATTTAGCTAAACTGACTGGTGTAAAATGGTATCTCGTAGTTGTTTTGATTTGCATTTCCCTGATCGCTAAGGAGGTAGAGCATGACCTTAAGTGTCTTTTGGCCATTCGAAGTTCTTCTGTTGAGAACTCTGTTCAGATCACTACCCCATTTTTTAATTGGGTTAATTAGAGTTTTAGTGCCTAGTTTCTTGAGTTCTTTGTATATTTTGGAGATCAGACCTTTGTCTGATGAGGGGTTGGTGAAGATCTTCTCACAGTCGGAAGGTAGCCTTTTTGTCTTACTGACGGTGTCCTTTGCTTTACAGAAGCTTCTCAGTTTCAGGAGGTCCCATTTATTCATTGATTCTCTTATTGTCTGTGCTACTGGGGTTCTACCTAGGAAGTGGTCTCCTGTGCCTATGTCTTATAGACTACTTCCCACTTTCTCTTCTGTCAGGTTCAAAGTGGTCAGATTTGAGGTCTTTAATCCATTTGGATTTGATTTTTGTGCATGGTGATAGTTATGGATCTACTTTCATTCTTCTACAGGTTGACATCCAGTTATGACAGCACCATTTGTCAAAGATGCTTTCCTTCTTCCATTGCATACCTTTAGCTCCCTTGTCGAAAATCAAGTGCTCATGGGTTTGTAGGTTAATATCTGGGTCTTCTATTCAATTCCATAGGTCGACTTCTCTGTTCTTATGCCAATACCCAGCAGTTTTCAATACTGTAGCTCTGTAATAGAGTTTGAAGTCAGGGATGGTTATACCTCCAGAAGTTCCTTTATTGTATAAGATTGTTTTGGCTATCCTGGGTTTTTTGTTTTT